TCGTTCGGTAATTATCGTAATAACGTGATAAAGACTGGGAGGGGGAGGGGGAAAGATACAGCGTTCAAACTGTCCGTTGTGCAGTGGGCCAGTTTAAGAGCTCAGTGGTTATCTTGAAGATATTCTGGAGGACAATGAGCGAAATAGAAAAGGTGCAAACTCTATTCGTGTTCAGTAATGCCGTCTCATTTCAAAAATGATGCCTTAGACGTAAATGTTATTTTATTTATTTATTTATTTATTTAGTGTTCTGTCTGACGACAAGTCCATATGAACAGGATCCTTCCATCCTTTTCTCGGACTGGGACCTGTTCATATACGTTCTTGGCAGATGATCCAGAAGTGGTTTGCCATTGCCTTCTTCTGAGTGTGAATGGAGTAATTGTTGGGATGCCACGGAGGAAAACTCCGTGTTGCCTAGACCACGGCCTTGCCCAACACAAGTTATAAATTCGGGCACCGCCGGGAATCGAACCCGAGACCCCAGGATTACAAGGCCAGCGTTCAGGAATTTATTTTTCTTAAGAATATTTTGAAATATACTTCCTATTTGTAACAATTTGAGGAACTTTTATTTGTGTGTATTAAAATTTCATTACGTAAAATAAAATTGGCTAAATTTTTTTGAATTTCACGCCTAATTTCCCCTTTTTGATCCATTCACAATTTTCCTGGACCCATGTATCGACCTTTTCCCCACTCATCGATACAAAATCGATAGCAGCGTCTCGTTGCCAGAATGAAATACAGCAAAGTCGTAATATAAGTGACAGTAAATCCTTCGAATTGTGGTAGAATTAAAATATTTTGGGAACAAATAAAAATTATGTGGCTGAAGAGGTTGGGAGAAGATTAAATTAAAGAAATATTTATTACTATTCTGCTCAGAATATTATATTCTTTCTGATATCCTATTTAAAAACCCAAAGGTCAAAATATACAGAGCTTGAAACTGGTCTGTCACACTGATGGTGCTTCAAAAAGTATTTTGGTCTAAGACGGAGAAATAACACAAACAGTAATTTCATAATTCGCCCCCTTCTGTAGACATTATTAGACTGACCAACTCAATGAAGATGAAATGGGCACGATTACGTAACACACACGGAAGAGATGATAAACGACAGTAATAATCTACAGACAACGTCTGAAAGGGCATCGAATTATAAATCCAGGTTTTATAAAAACAATAAATTAAAAATCTCTTATTAATATTTCATATTCCAGTGTCCATAAGCCGAATTTAAATTTTAATATTATGACCGTCTTTTGGGTTGTAGCGCCGTAGAAGTTCACCGACGTTTTAGAGGTCCTTGCTGCATCCATCATCAGGGCGATTATCGCACTACCACACTACGTGGCTCGACAACCCACGCTGAAATCCAGCAAACTGCCATATTTCTATCGGCCGACAAGAGAACCTCAAATCCTACTGAATTTGTAATACTTTTCTTTGTTACAAGACTAAAATAAAACAGTTAAAATATTTACATCCAACCTCAATACATTCAGCTTTTACTTAGGTTGAAAGAAAGAGAAACCTATAATTCAGAGTAATGAAGAAACTTGTATGTATCTTGTCGTAAGCCCAACATACGCCATTTTGTTCTGTCCCCTCTTCTTTTGTTCGTGTGGAGTCCTGGGTCAGGTGGTATTCACGTTGACAATAAATTAAAGAGTCCTACTATCCTTCATGGTGGCTTCCAACAAATAGGAAACTCGATACTCAAAATTACACCCTTGTTCCTTTTCCTTGCATTGGACAGCTTCATACATCCATTGTGTCTTTCTGTTCATGTCATTGGCTGACAAATTACATAGGTAACCGAGTAATAATGCAAATGCAATTATACTCATTTCCTCTACCCTGCAGATCAATAGACTTATTGGGCCGTGTCCACAGCTGTCCTGAGGTCCATGGCAGTTGCCGGATCTAATTGACGCTAGACCTCACGAAAGAAATCAACAGAATGTTTAAAACATAAGCTAATTGGCTTCCTAGATCCTTATTTTATTAACAGTTCTTATAAATATTAAGTTCTCGACTCCGAACATATGTGCATATTTTATACCAAATCCACGCTTTTCAATAATTAATTTGCTCACCTTAATTTGACCACTTTTTTCTTCTGAAAAACAGAATAAAATATTTATTTGTTTCACAGATTGTCGTTAACGTAATCGTTCTGCTGTTACGTATCAGACTGTATGACCTGTTCAAATTCAAAAATTCTTCTAAAATTATAAACCCGTTTAGACATTTGATATGGCTTCTTAGATGGGGGATCAGACCGGTGCAAGGCGTCTATCTACGCAGAACAGTACAAAACACAGAAGAATTCAAATATGCCCCAAGTGGGATTCGAAACCAGAATCTAGCTGGCAGGGGTTTACAACTCGGACTGTCTGGTCCACAAAAAAATGCTTTCGAAAACTCGCTGGTAATTACAGAATAAATCTTAAGAAGGTGTTAAATAATAATACAAATCAATAGACGTCTTTATGTTATTCTACGTACAAATATGATTTTATAAAGCTAGACCTCGACGTACATTCCTGATACAAATCTTGTAGCAGAGAAATAATTTTCTATCTACGTAATCATATTGAAGGACGGACAATATTCTCTCCTTATTATGTTTGTGTGTGTTTAAAACAAACTAAACTCTTAGTGCGTTTAAACCTGTAGTGGGGAGAAACCCTGAAATTCTGTACAGATAGAAACAAATTCCACTAATACATATTCAGAGCTGGCTGACACATAAAAATTTCCTTTGTGAAGCAAAACAGTTCAGGATGGTTCCCAATCCGTTGTTGAATGCAATCTTCGCGTAGGCCTAGCCGACATTAATTTATTATAAAAAGTAAAGTTTTCCCACTATACATCATATAGGCGCTTGGTGGGAGAGGCGTATAGCTCCTACTCATTCTTAAACTCTGCACTAGATGGGGGTAAGTGGTCAGCATCACGCCCTGGCCGGCTTTAACCCCGAGAAAGGACCCCGTTAGTAATATATCAAAATATATTGATAATAACGACAGAAAACAGTGGAGGTATTACACTGCTTAGTCATAAATGTTACTGCTGACGTAGTAGTTTATAAGCAATGGACAAATTACTTTGTGCGTGTTAATAAGATTAATTTATTACGTGAGATATTTTTACTAACTAACTAACTAGATGGCTTACTGAACCCGAAGGTTCATCACCGAATTAACCAAAGCCCTCCACCGGACCCTGTCCTGGGCCAACAAAATCCAGTCTTCTTCGACTCCTATCTCCCATAGATTCCGCCTGACATTATCCTCCCATCTACGTCTAGGTCTCCTGAGGGGTTTCTTCCCCTCACGCTTCCCAAATAGTGGACCCAACCAACTAGATGGCTTAGGGAACCCGAAGGTTCATCACCGAACAAACCAAATCCCTCCACCGGACCCTGTCTCCTTCAACTCCTATCTCCCATAGATCCCGCCTGACATTATCCTTCCATCTACGTCTAGGTCTCCCCAGAGATCTCTTCCTCTCAGGCTTCCCAAATAGTGGACCCAACCAACTAGATGGCTTAGGGAACC